GGGGGGGGGGGGGGGAATTGAAAATCTCACCTGCCTTTCCTCAAAAGTCACAGTTTTTGCATACCTGCAGTCAGCTAGATGCCATGAATGCTATTCAGTAACACATTTTGGGCAAGAAATCCATGAAATCGTAAGCTTCCCATACAATAGTTAAAACGCAATCAGGCTTCTGCTTACTTCCTTGATGTGCAATGTACTTTGGCAAAGCCCAGGCTTTTAGAGAGGCAACTGAGGGCACAACAGCGTTTGAATATTTGGCAGCTTGTTGCTGTCAAGCAGCTGATCCAGGAATGACCAGCTAGAGTTCAGCCTGCGCCACACATTTGGAAACAATATCCCACGTCATTCAAGTTCACAGGAGTTCTGATACAAGACCACAACAGCATCATGGAAGAGTACTCTGATGCAAACCCACCGAGCCCGGTCGTTACGTCACACTCTTCCATTGCGAACCATTCCTGCATTCGCCGCACCAGTTGGGCTGCAAACTTTTTTCCCTACCACGGGGCACTGCTAATTTTAAGTCAGCACCTCTAACATTACAAAAGAAGTACATCTTTTTTTTTCTGGTCCAGAAGAAAAAGGGGAAAGTTTATAGCCATTTATTAGAAGCACGTACTTGGAGGTTTTTATTGAGGTAACCAGAGAAATAAATGTAAAAAATGTTTATTTTTTTTAAGTACATTACAAACATGAGGTGGGAGGGCAGCAGACAAGCCTAACCCAGAAAACACTTCAGTTTTAGTGTTAGGTAGCCTGGAATTTTAAGAGGCCTTTTTTGGTCACACGACCACCCTCTCTCCCAACATAAGTTTAAAATACAGATGTGAGGAGGAGGAGGTGGTTTACCTAAAAATAGTCCTAGATAAGCAAGAGAAACAATTGCAGTCACAAAAATATTTCAGGAATACTCTTTGAAATATTTGATAGTGGTGTTACCTTGCAAATAACTCTGTGCAGGGGCACAGTAACACGTTTAGCGTAACCCTAAGGGAGGCTGACGGATTTCGGACCGTCGCACTGACACCAGTGTCGGGGGCCGGGAGCAGTTCGCCGCCATCAGCCGCCAGGGCAAACACAAAGCCTCGGCGGGGCCGGAGGGGAGGTGGTGTCAGGGACTGGACATATATTGTCGCCATCAGTCACCAAGAAATCTCCCGGCAATTACATTCCCTTATAAAGCTGCCACTAGGGGACTCAAGAGGTAGGGGCCAGCGGCGACCCGCTGGGGCGCTGAAAAAAACCACCCCGCACAACGGATGGCCGCGATGAAGGGCCGCGCTTTTTGTGCGCCTACTGCAGTTGTCACTGATTAACCCACTGATCTGGCAATTTCCTACATTCTTTTGCATTTAAAAAGGATCTGAGGGGCCGAGAGCCATCCCCTTTCATATT